CACCACCGGTCGCCCTCCTCCCAGCCCGCCCCCAGGCCACGACCCTGCTCTGGGGAGGGAAGCGCATGTCCCCCGAAGGAGGCCCCGGCTCGTGGTCACATCCACCCCCACCACAGATGCAGTCTGCAGCTGAGCCGGGGGGGTTGCCCTGAGGGACCCTTGAGGGGATAGTTTCTCTTCCTGGGAACCAGAGTCACATGCTGTGCGACTCCAGGCTAGATCCTTGCCCTCCCTGCAATAAGGCCGTCCACTGGTCCATTCAGCCAAGGTTGGCTGGGAGCCTCTCAACACAGGGAGAGCAGGGAGGGCTTCCTGGAGGAGGGGGCAACCTCAGGAACACTGAGAAGAAATGGATGCTGCCCTAGCCTTTAAAGCAGCAGGCCAGACTCAAGAAGATACATCCCAGGCAGGTGGGCCTCCCACCCTGGGGGGGTCCCCTCCCACACTCCAAGGCCCCTCACCTGCCAGCCCCATGGAGAAGACGCTGTTGGACACAGTGACCCTGTCCTCTGGCACATTGGCCCAGTTGCCCATGGCCCACCAGCCCTCATGGAGAAGCTGATGTCTGTGGCTCTACTGACTGAGAGCTTGTGGATGCTGAGGACTGGGGAGGGTGGTGGTAGGCAAGAGACAACAGAGACAGAGAGAGGGAGACACAGACGGAGAGAGCTTTTGTGACAAGGAGCCTGAGAGTGGGCCCAAAAGTCCAGGACCATCACATGGGGGTGCTTGTGGCTCGGAGCAGGTGCAGGGCATCTGGGGCCACCCAGTCACGTGGATGCCCGATGCCAGCCTGCCCACGAGGCCCAGGGCCTGGACAACTTCCTGGTTCCTTCCAAGCCCTCAGATGACACCGGCCACCCCACCAGGGGTCCCCCAGCTCCTGTGAGAACCCAGGCCTAGACCCAGCCCTAGAAGTTGCCAGAGGTGAGTTCTGCCATCAGGGCTGTGGCCAAAGGGAATGGTGCCCACCTCGGTACACCTGCCCGGGACGATGGAGCCCAAGCCCTTCCCCCATCTCTGTTCTGTAACAGGGACAGATGCAGATCCCCCTCACAGCACTGGGGGCTATAAGGGGATCTAGGAAGGAAGGTGCTGGGTGTGGGGAAGGGGCAGAGGGGGACACAGCACGTCTGGGGAGGAGCCAGAGCTGAGAAAGCTGGTGGCATCTGCAGTCCTTCCTCCCACCCTCCCGCTGCAGGGAGGGGCCCTGCCGACCTCCTGAAGGCCCTCAGCCCCACTAGGCCCCAGCCAAGCTGCTCCTGAAAACCCCAGTGGGCTATGTCTGGCCCTGACCGGGGAGTCCCAAGTGGCAGACCGGCCTGGGAGGCCCGGACAGGGTGGAGGTCCCGTCTCTGATCCCCTTCATTCCAGGCCCACCCACTGCAGGCAGACGCTGCTCGCTTCACCCAGCACCCGCAGCCTGGGTCCAGGTCTGCACGGGGGCTGCCTGAGGTGTGGGGTGGAGGGGGAGGACCACGGGAAACAACAGCCCCACCTGTCCGGCCGTCACTGGCCTTCCTCCATCACTGGGGCCTTCCCCCAACAAAACCCCATCCCTCAGATGATTTCCACCTCCTGCCTTTGCTCAGGCAGTGCCTGGCCCGCACACTCCTCCCCCTCCAGGCCTGGCATCCTGGCTGTGCCCTCCCTCCCCCACAGGCCACGGCCTCCCTGCACCTGTGTGCTCAGCTCGGGGCCCAGGATGTCTTCCCTTCAAGAGGCCCTGGGGACAGCGATGGGCTCCCTCTCCAGGTGCCCAGCCCAGCACAAGGCTGGCCCTCCGGCGCCGAGCGCCTCACCGATGACAGGACAGGTGAGCAAGTCCATCATGCTCCACGTCTCTGAGCACCGACCATACGCCCGGGATGGTTCCAGTCCTGCGGACCAGCTTTGGAGTCAGGTTCACCACAGTGGAGGGGTGACGAGGGTGCTGCGGGTGGAGTGAGGGGACGCAGGGGAGTGTTTGGGAGCTGGTGACTGCAGGAGAGGTTGGATTTGTAGTCTCCAGCCATTGTCAGGAGCACGGTGCATGGTGACCAGCTGGGTGAGAACCCTTGTGTTCAAGTTTCAGACTTGTGGGTGCTAACTCCCACAGGCACATGGATCCCATGACAGAAAGCGGTGGTTTGAGAGAACAGGGGCCTGGCGCTTCCCCTAGCCTTTGGACGGAGGTTTCCAGGCAGGGCTGGACTGAATGGCTCCCACCTGTAAGTGAGCCTGAAGAGGGGCCCTAGACTGTCCCATTTCAGCCTCCTAGGGCACTGGGCACATGGTAGGGGGAGGTGTGCAAAAGCCTGTGATGTCGTGACTTCCTCCAGGTGGGCATCCAAAGAGATTCCTCCTGTGCCCCTGCTGGGTGACTGGCACCCAGGTGTAAGGTAGCACCTGCAGATGTCTTTTACAGAGCACAGATCTGCAAATTACTATCCTCCAAGGCTACGCTGGGGAGTCTACTCCCTGTTGCCCTACATTTTTTTCTTAGGTTTTTTTCTTTTTGGTGGGGGGAGGTAATTAGCTTTATTTCTATTTCTACTTTTTCAGGGAGGTATTGGGGATTGAACCCAGGACATTATGCATGCGAGGCACACACTCTACCACTGAGCTATATATACCCTTTTCCCCTCCAAGTTTTATGTTTCTTCTTTCACAACACTTTAAACTTACCTTGTTGATTATTATCTATTTAATAAATCCTTTTAGAATCACTTCTGGAACAAGACAGGATTCATGTTCATTAATTAAACAATAAAGAGTAATCGGTGCTTTCGGTAAAGACCCTTGTACTAATTTTCTCTCTGTATGAGAGGGATGCTGAACAAACTAGTCAACAATCACTTTTCATTTTACTTTTTATTCCACCCATTCAGATGTTAAGAATAAAATTGCATGCTGTTTCAACTTTGTCTTGAGAAAAATGGCCATTTTTCTAATTCTACAAGTGGGAATGTAAAATAACAAACTTTCTGGAGAACAAGTGACAAATATGGATCAAAGATCTTTTAAAGATATAGTGTGTGTATATATATGTGTGTGTGTGTGTGTGTGTGTGTGTGTGTGTATGTATATTTATCTTGCTGTATTACTTCCAAGAATTTCATACTCCACAATACTAATGAAATTTTCTTTAATGTAAAATCCCAAGTTAGCAATTATAAAACTTCTACAGATCTGTATTATTAAAGTAGATATAAAGAGTTCAAATGTTTAGAAACAAGAAATTCAGTGCCTCAACTACAGAGCTCTCGTTCCCACTCCACTTTTTCGTATTCTGTGATTTCATTCCTTTTGTTTCTGACAGCTCCTTTCATAGCCTATTAAGCTTCTTTTCCAATCTTTGAATTTTCCCTGTAAGTAGTTCACACTGTTTTTTAAAATTCTATTCATCTTCTTTATAAAAGAATTGCATACTGAATTTTCACTAAGCTACCATAATCTGCATTAGGAGGAAAAAAAGTAGAAATAAAGACATGAGTAACTTTTGTGTGTAAAGGACTGTGTACCTTCACATTCACTCATCCATAGACTGAACAATTGTACATACTGAGCATCTATAATGTGGAAGACATTCTACTAAGCTCTGAAGATAAAACAGACAAGACCCCGGCTCCTCTTTAGTGTACAGTCTAGTAGAACAGAATTACAAGTAAAATAATTACAAATTCAGATGGCTACTATAAGAAAAAGAGAGCTCTATGACAATGTAACAGGGCTTGGCCTAGACTGGGCCCGGGGAAGATTCCCCAGTGAAGAGATGGTCACACTGGGAATGAAGGATGAGCAGGAAGCAGTTAAGCCCAAGAGGAAGCAGACCACCTAGAGCGCGAGCCCGAGACCTCCCGCAGACGGCTTCCAGCCAAGACGGAGGAACAGGCACGGACGGGCCTGCCTCCTTGAAACAAGCAAAACCAAAACAGACAAAATACATGAAAAAACAATCTTCAACACACAGGACTTCAGGAACTGAAGGACAGTGATCCCTAAACACACATGAAGTGAGTCTAATGGATGCCCCAGTGCACGGCCTTGGGAGAATATCAAGGCTGTGACACAGGGACAGGGAACAGAGGTAGGAGGGTCCACCAGACGCCCTCACTCGAGGTGACGAAGTAGAGAGTCAGACGAAACCAACACAGATAAGAGATGAGACGAGAGAGGGCTGGTGAGGAGGGAGCGGACCACAGAATGGCCCCTGGAAATCTGCAGTGCGGCCCCAAGGACAATTCAACTGAGTAAACAACAGCGCATAAAGGGTGAGAAAACACTTGAGATGCGGGATGGGGTGGGTAGATACATTTTAAAACAGGAAACAGTGCATACTGCTCATGTAGTTTGAGGAATAGAATCCATTCCTATCATCAGGGTTGGCCCTGAATAGAGCACGACTGCATCAACTGATGCTATAAGAACGTAACATATCTCATATTGCTTACCATAGGG